TACTCAAGATATGCTTCTATTGAATTATATATAGCGAAAATGAGAAGAACGTAATGTTTAATAAATGAAATCAAATGTTATAATAAAATGTCCGTAATGTTTAATAAATAAAGTCATCAACAAATTTAATCAATGCTTTACTGGTTAAAAAAACTGAACTGACTAAAAACAATAAACATGCTGCGTTCATAATATAAATCTTTACTTTATTTTTAATGCTGTATTTAACTGATGTAAATTAAAATGTATTTTGTTTCTTATAAATGCAATCTATAAATTTTATGAGCACGTTTTGTTTCATTAGAAAAAGAATGTGTAGTTACACTCACTCCTACTAACGCCCCTTTTTTTTTTTTTTTAATTTTTGTCCTTTTAGCTTTTATTTATCTTCGCACTTACGCTATATAAAATTAAAATGCAAAATTACGAAAATTTTAAAAGCAGTATATGTTTAGAATTAGCGATGCAGCGTTAAGTTGTTGGCATATATTTTTCTGTTTTTTCAGTCTTTTCTCAGTTTATATTATCAATGTTCCGTTTTCTCACTAAGATGGCTTTAGAAAACTTTTTTTTTTTTTTTGCTGTTTATTATTAACGTTTTGTGTGTTTACTTTATTTATTAGGTGTCACGTTCTTAGCGCTTACGCCACATAAAATTCAATTCGACAGCAAAATCCCAAAATATTTAAAAACAGTGTATCCTTAAAATTTCTGCCAGACAGTTTTACGCACTGGAGATAAAAATGTTGTTTTCTCCGTACAAGGTTGCCACTACACGCTTTGAAATCCTTGAGTTTGTTAATCAAAAATATTTGTTACTTTTACAAAATGCTAAATAGCTAATGAAACCAATTCTAAATTCAAGGTTCAAGCTTCCAAGTGTTCATATTCGGGTGTAAGACTACGTTATTCAAAATTTAACGGCTCTAGGTTACGATTGATTTTTTACAATGCGAGCAACATGCATAGATTCATGCAGATTCCTCTTTATTTAATTTCTTCAAAGACAGGGTAATAATATTTATTGGCAACAATTTGAAAAGTGATACTCTGTTTATAGTGATTGAACGGAAAATGAACGTTTCGAGACCAATCTCCCATTCAGGACTAACGTCCTTTTGGCTAAAAAAGAAAAAAAAAACGTGAACCCGTTAATGCTTCTAGGACAACCAAATTTCAGAATAATTTTAAACTAAATATAAACGATAAATCTAGTATAATAATTTTAATCTAGCCGAAGTCATTTTAGATGGCATCGTGGAATTTATCTTATAATTTATTGACTAAAAAGAAACTTCCTGCTTTTATAATATTCACCATTTTTATTTTTTCTTTATTGACATTTATTTTATTTACAAGTTTCAAATTGCGCTTTCAGATAATTTTGCTTTTCTCTTTACATTTTTTATATATTTTATGTATTCATTAGTTTCATTTTTCAAAGTGCAAAGTAGTTTTATAATTAATAAATTAACTGTAAATATTAGAATAAATTTCTTGACTAAAATACATTTTTATTTCATTGCGGAAAATAGAGAATAAAAGCATTAGCAAAGTTATGTATTAAACGTTTCTAATTTCTGCCAAGAATGTCGAATCCTCTGGGCAGACGACAAAATTATTTAACAAGGCTTTAATTGAAATCATTGCAGAAAACTTCTTGTACTTCTGGCATGCGTGACACCGTTTTCAAGTATGCATGCTCTAAATGAATTCTCTAAGCTATAAAAAACACTTATTTCTCGAATTTTCTTAGATATACTATGCGACTGTCGTTTTTACCATTTTACTTCACAGCCCAAAACTAATATCGCTTGGATGCACCTGTAGAATTCATTAACTGAACAAACACGTTGTTGGCAGGTTAGGAATGGAATTAATTCTCCCAACTTCTGCGTAATATTTATTTTACCTTTAAGTCAAGACAAATTAATGACAGCCTGAAGAATGTGTCATAGCAACAAGTAGCTAAATAACGCTGTCAGCTGAGGATGACTTACCGAATCTTTCAGAATATTTTCCTCTGGACAAATTATGGATTAATTTTAGGTGGGTACTTTTTAATATTAAAATGGACTTTGTTCTTCGATGTTTACAAGGTTATTGGTTTTATATTTATTATTATTTTGAGTGGGATCTAAACTATAGTATAATGGTAGTAGAGATTCAGCTATCCGGATTCTAGACGCCAGGAATTCTAATAATCCGAGTCATTTATCTTTTCTTCTAGGTTATGTAAAATTAAGCTTACAGTAAAATTATTTCAATTTATTTATACATTTTTATTCTTCCGCTGATTTAAATAATACAGAACAATCATCAAGATATTAATGAGGATTTATGCACAATGAAGTTATTCATTTAAGGATTTATTAGCACTTAAGATAGATGATTGTGAAAGTCACTTAGAATGCCGCATAGTTTCTGCACTGTAAATGAGAAATTATATATAACCCGCAGTTATACTGTTATAACCTATTGTTACATATAGCCTAGAAAGCGAATTAGATGTAACCTACATTTATTCTTAGCTTACTTTATGAATTATTGCTTAACAATAAAAAGAGCTTCTTTAAAAAAAAAAAAAAGACGGGAAAATAGTAAAATTATATAAAATACATTACATAGAAATAAGTAGTGGGCACATGATAAAAAAAAACATTTTCACTGTTCTATCTTATAAGTTTTGCATTTTAATTTATAGGGAAATATTACTTTATTTTAACTAATGTACACTGCGAAGAAAAAAAGGGGGACACTTCTATTTCTCCGGTTCTACTGGATCGATTGACGAAATTCAACTTGCGTTTTTCATGTTTCGAAAGCGCAATTTAGGATATGTATCAGCTTTATATACACAGGGCCTTTCATAGCTCAGGGGACAAACTTGCAGGGGTAGTGGAGAGTACTAAAACATGCATTTTTTATAGGAATATAGGTCTAAAGTGACGGGTTAAGGCAGGAACGCAAAAAAACGACACGAAAGGAAAATGTGTTTATCAAAATCAACGCAAAGAGCTTCTTTGCATCAATACAGGTGACAGGTGACGGAGGACGGGGACGCCTTGCGTCTAACAGAGGTAAACAGGCATATGTAACAGAGGTAAACAGGTATTACCTTACACATTAATATACTTACATATGCACATAAATATATGCATTATATTACACATTATTACTCCTAAATTACTGTTTACACATAAATTACTACTTACACTTGAATTAATGCTTGCACATAGAATGCTACTTACACTTTAAATGATACATAATTACATATACTCATTACATTACACATTAATATGATACATGATAGCACACATTAATATAATACAAATAATGCTTACACATTAATATGGATACATTACTGCCTTACGCATAAGTTACTGCTTGCCCCTTTGTTACTGCTTACGCATAAATTACATGTATAAGATTACATACATATTCAGTTGCACTGTATGTAAATTACTACGTACACAGGAATTGCTGCCTACTGATGATGCATAAGTTCCTGCTTACGCATAAGTTACTGTTTACATATGAATACTGCTTACACATTAGTATGACACATAAATACGCATAAATTACTCCTTACACATAAGTTACTGCTTACACATTAGTGTGATACAAAAATACTCATTAATTACTGCTTACACATTAGTATGATACAAAAATACTCATTAATTACTGCTTGCACGTAAGTTACTGCTCACATATATTCCTGCTTACACATGATTTGCTGCTTGTACAGACAATACTGCTTACGTGTTAATATGATACATAATTACATATACCCATTACCTTACACATTAATATACTTAAATATATGCATTACATTACATATTATTACTCATAAATTACTGCTTACACTTGGGTTACTGCTTGCACATAAAATACTACTTATACATAAATATGATACATAATTACATACACATTATATACATACATTATTACATATACACATTACACATTAATATGATACATAATTAAGCACACACATTTGAAATAAATGACAAATAAATATACATAGAGAAAACACAGTTCAACACAAAATATACAAAACATAACAGTACAATGATACAAAGTACACACAATACGACATTAAACAGCATGAAAACATATATAAACATTACGTTAAACAACACATTGCATTAAACACATAAAAACTATAAGGCGCACAGTTATAGTGGCAGTTCAGTATAGTTTCAGGGAAAGTACTTTACAGTGGCAGTACTAGGCACATTTTAGCACTTCCGCATTGCAGAATGTACGCAATACCCACAAGTGAAACACTAGCGGTATACAGCATGCAGCATGTGTTGCTGCACAGTTTGTTAAGGCAGAATGCAATCACTGAGACCATTATGAATAGCACTGTTTTATAATGGGAGGCAAAGGTCTTGGCCATAGGCCTTAATTGTGTTAACGATTTTGCACACTGTGTTGATTGCCGCTTTATTTTTAAGGATAAACTTGTGGAAGGCAGGTATGTTCGTGGGTTCCGGGAAATGGTACTGTTCTGTGAGTGGGCACCGGAAGATATAGTGATCGGGTGTCCCCTCTTCCCCCCGCATACACAGCGATCCGTATTAGAAATAGTGCGTCTGTTGAAGTAGTCCGGGAAGGGACCGTGCCCAGTTACAAAGTTAGTAAGTGGAGCGTTTGCTATGAGTCTCTCCGTTGTCACCATCGGTAGAAAGCCATACACTCTTCTTCCTGTGTTTCCATGTTCCCATACTCTTTGCCACCACTGGATTGCTGCGCCTTTCAGCAGTCTTTTAAGATGGGAAGGTGGCGCCGGAACAGCGATGGGACGTGCGTTGATGTTTGAGGCTGCCTCTTTGGCGAGCACGTCCGCTGCCTCATTACCTGCATTGCCTTCGTGAGCTTTCACCCACGTCATGTCCACGTGTACCTGTGGGTTATCTTTTAAGAGTTTTTGAAGGCGGATGATCAACGGGGAAACATGGTTGTGTTTGCTTAGGGCCAGCAAGGCAGACATACTATCCGTATAGAGACATATTATCCGATATAGCTTTTGAGATTTTTCGGCTTATTAGATATTCAACAGCAGCTGTAATTGCTATCACTTCTGCCTGAAAGACGCTATTGCTGTCACCTAGGTGGCCTTTCCAATGATGTAATTCTTGGCTTTGCCAACAGTGCAGGAAAGCACTGCCAACGCCTTCAGCATGTTTAGAACCATCAGTGTAAAGTGTATGGTTGCTGATGTGCTGTATTTCCTTGTTGGGCTGTTGCATGATGTGGGTGTGGACCCCTAGTCCTTTATGCGCTGGATGTGTGTGCAGCGGTGTCTTGGGGTGCTCATAAAGTGCTGGACTGTAGAGAGTACCTGCGAAGGAGGCGTCTTTCCTCAAGTGAAGGACTCTCGTATATGTCGCCTCTAGTTCGGCCTGGATGTGTAGAGGGACTATACCTGCTAGAGTAAGGGCGGAGCTCGTGGCTGTTGTGCAGTATGCCCTGCAGATGCTTATGACAAAAGGGCGTTGGAGTGATGTTAACTGCTTGATTTTCCTCGTTGTCATCGGTTGAGCCCAGATTGCAGCTGCGTACAGCGCAATCTTTTCCACCACCGTGCTATAAAGCACTTTTTGAATGTGGGGATTTAGTCCCCAATTCCTTCCTTGAAATTTCCGTGTCATTCTGGCTATAGCGGAGGTTTTTGCTCTCTGTTGCTGCAAATGTGGCACCCATGTTAAGCCAGAGTCCCAGACCACTCCTAGATACTTCTGTGTATCCGTGAATTTAATGTTGCGGCCAAGTAATCGGATACAGGGACGACGTACAGGCCTCGTGCCCGGTCTCGGGATGAGGAGTGCAGAAGACTTGGTGATAGAAATCCTCAGCTTTCGCATAGGCTTGCGAACTTGGCGCACGCTTCGCTACCATTGGCTTCAATTTCGTCTCGTGTGCGACCTTTAACAAGGAGAGCCGCGTCATCAGCATATGCAATGATAGTTGTGTGATCAGGCCACGTCGCTTCGAGGATTTTGTTAAATGTCAGGTTCCAGAGCAAGGGCCCTGCACAGGACCCTTGTGGGCAGCCTCTGACTTGGGTCTTAATTCACAATAAATGCTCAAAAAAGGGAACACTAACAGTAATAGGAACTACAGCTGTGATTGGCTGGTAATGCAGCGGTAGAGGGCGGTAGCGAGCCGGACAAACCACGATCCGATGCATCAGAGAATCATTCGCAACTCTGATGTCGTACGTGATGGGTGAATTTACGCACAAGGAAAACGCTGACATGCATCTCATGTACGGTGCTGCTAATGGGAACGGCAGAGCAGCTCTATGGTTGTACCAGGAACAGTTTCTGAACAGGCGTATTCCGAAGCACACAATGTTCGAGAGGTTGCATCGATCTCTGTGTGAAAACGGGTCATTTGAAGCCACCTCTGACATTAGGAGTGGAAGAGGAAGTGCACAACAACCTTGCATTGAAGAATCCATCTTGAACATTGTGCATGAATCACCTCAGACAAGTACAAGAGCTATTGCACGTCGTCTGCAGCTGAGTCATTCCACCGTTTGGAGAGTATTGCATGAAAATGGTTTACACCCATACCATTTGCAGAGAGTCCAAGCCTTGTAAGAGACAGATTACCCTCCGAGTTCATTTCTGTCATTGGTTCTTGCAGCAGTGCGCGGCGCATGCGGATTTACCATCGGATATGCTATTCACGGACGAGGCAACTTTCTCACAGGACGGCATCTTCAATAGCCGCAACATGCACGTGTGGACAACTCATAATCCTCGTGCCACACGTCCACATGCATTAAAAATCCGCTTCTCCGTGAATATGTGGGCGGGTATTGTTAACGACTATCTCATAGGCCCATACCTCTTACCTGCACGTACAAATGGCTCATGTTATCATATTTTTCTGCAAGAGGTGCTACTGGAGTTGCTGCAGGATGTTCCGGCTGTCGTCCGTGATCGCATGTGGTTCCAGCATGATAGTGCACCAGCCCATAACCACGTGCGGGTCCGCAGGCGGTCGCAATTTTGAACGTTTATTGTGAATACTGTATTGCTACAAATAAGACTTTGCGTTGATTTTTTACATAAACACATTTTCCTCTCGTGTCGTTTTTTTACGTTCCTGCCTTAACCCGTCACTTTAGACCCTACATTCCTATAAAAAAATCAATGTTTTAGTACGCTCCCCACCCTTCCAAGTTTGTCCCATGATCTATGAAACACCCTGTAGTATTCTTCTAATATAGGTATTTTGATTCAAAAATCGGACTTTTTCTAAAATTATATACCAATTGCTTTTTCCATATTTCGATTCTACGACTCAAATTAAGCCAAACTGCCAAGTTTTGTAAAAATTGCACGAGCAGTTTTTTAAAAATTAGCGCACAAAATTTTAGCTCCTCAGTGTTATTTAAATTTGGTATACATTTATTAATCTCTCTTTTTCTATTAAACTTATTTGATACTTCCTTTCACATTTCGAAATTTATGTTTATTCCAAATAAAATTCGCCCATTTTTTATGATCTATTTTTAAGTAATTTTTAGAAATTTTTTGAAAAACATTTTGAATTATAATCTATAACATTTCACCATCATCTTAAAGTAGACGTATTTCTAAGCATACCTGTAAAAAATTAGAGTTTATTTACTAAATATTTTCGAAGATATACGTGAATTTATATCCTGGCGCGTTTAGAAATTTGGCATATTTGTTGAAAGCGATAATAACATCACATGTGGTTTAGGCACTTTGTTAAAATTATTTGAAAGTTGGTTGGAATGATGTGACATTTTTTCCGCTCATGCACAATGTAAAAAGGGAAAGGAAAATAGGTTGCCATATATTAAGAAGTTCGCCAAGTAAATTATTCTTGACGTAAGCTGAAAAAATACGCCAAGATAAATATTTTAATTCTCCGTAAATTTCGCACCAAATTTTACAAAATTAAATATTTAGGCATAATTTGAATCGTAGAATAGAAATATGGAAAAATATTGGCATGTCATTTAAGAAAAAGTAAGATTTTGTGTCAAAATACTTAATTTAGAACAATGCTATATGTGAATCTAATATTATATATCCTAAGTCACGATTTCGGGATATGAAAAACGCAACTTGAATTTCGTCAATCGGCCCAGTAGAACGGGAGATATAGAACTGTCCTTTTTTTTTTTTTTTTTCCCAATGTACGTATAATCTATGTTGGAATGAGCATAGATTATATATTAGTTAAAGTAAATGTTCATGTTTATTATATTCTATGTTTGAATGAACTGTAAAACAGAGAAAATTCCTTCGTTAACATAATATTAAACATGTATTTAAATAGCAAATATAAAAATTGACAACTCCAGTTATACGTTCTTTTGAATATGTAGATGGATGGTGGTTCAGTTAGTTCAAATCTTTTTCTATCCATAGCGGGGCAGCGGATTCGCTGGGGAAGTTATTATATCGAGCAAATGGCTTCACTGACGGAAATAACTTCGCTACAAAATTTCCTGTATAAAATTTGCAGGTTTCCCTCGCCACGTTTGGCGAACGGGCCCAGTAAACTGACGTGTTTCAGCTCTTGTCGAAGTCCTTGGGAAATGAAAGATGAGGGGTTGGTTCAGCGATGGAAAATGGGTTGCAATGCATATGAGATGAATACTTTTAGTACATTTTCCATATGTACTAAAGATGGATAGATACAACTTAAGAACTGTTAATGGACTTCTGCAACGTGATTAGGGAGTTCTGTACATTTATTGTATATCTACCAATATCCAAACTTATCTGTTTGACTTGCATTGAATCAATTATTTCAGTTACTGATTGCAAGCGTTTTCTATGTTGTTTAATAACTTTCTTAATTAATAATCATACTCAATCATATGTGTAGTTGTAAGGATTTATTTAGTTTTACTAACAAGTTAATTTATGTTAATTGCCTTTGCTGTCTTTCTCGCTTTCCATTTCTAGTTCGCGGATATTCAAATAAGGTAGAGAGGAGATAGTACTTAAAAGTAGGTTTCAGACGGTAGAATTAGAGCGTGCTCTGCCTGCTGAGGCCACGTTGCTGAATTGATTCACTTGACAGTAGAATTCTGTGGCAATCTAATTTATGCTACCAGAGAAGACGAAACTGTTTGAGTGTTAAATTTTGAATCTATTACAGTTTATATATTCTTGTCTCTAATGTTCTTTTTTGTGAAAAAAAGGTGCTGAATATTTAAAATTTTCTGATTCGACTCTTAAAAATATGTATTTTCATATCACTAAGACCTTCTTATAATGAAAACGTGAACAGTTACAAACACACTGTTAAAACCTTGTGCCTGTTTACTGGACCAAACTATGCTAAAATACCATTGAATCATAGCATTTCATATACCTACAACACAAATTAAATTGAAATGAAAGTACTTTTATGTTACAGCATGTTACAGGAGATTAGCAGATATTATTTTTGGAAGAACAAGTACACAACTTAAAAATTAGATTTCAATAAATCTGACTGCATAGGCGCGAGCTCCAGAAGCTGTTCTTCCCTGAATATCAGTTAACTATTATAAGCTTAGAAGTTATCATTTGCCGAGAGTATCTTTATTGTAAACTCCATTTGGCGAATCAACTTCCACTGATAGCAAAGTTGGAGAATAGAAGTAGTCAAGCAACAGTTCGTTCAGGTGTCAGCTAATTCACATAATCTTTCGTCACCCAAGTGGGATAGTGATTATTGACACTGGTTACTGCATTGAAGGACGTGAGTTAGAATCCTGGAGAAGGAATGTATAGTGTCTTTGCGGCATGAAGATACCCTAAATATATGGAGAGCCGAAAGTCCTCTCGTGTGAATTGGAGGTACGGGAAGAAGAATGGGATACCCTCAGACCCCCCCCCCGGTGCTCTCTCTCAAAATCGGGAGTGGACTTGGCAAAATCGCACTGGCACCTGTATGGGGATCAAGGGTCTTGACAATGGTAGGCGTAATCTTGTACTCCTTGCAGCAATTAATGTTGTGGGCTTGTTCAGATGTCAGACAAGCGAGATTAGTCACAACAGCAACATCTTTCGGAATGGGTTTTTGTATATGCAAAATTAGAAGGAAACGACAGAGCAAAAATTTTAAGTATCTGGTTAAGACCACAGAAAAACGTTACAATTTTCATCAACATTTTTCCCTTGCATTTTAATTCAACTTAAGATATCCGACTACATTAATCATCCAGATTTTGGAAAATAGTACAAATAAATCTATTATTTGGTTATTTAGCAGAATGCTACTTAAAATAACAGAAATACATGATAATCAAATTATTATTAACAAATTACATTATTATTACGTTATTAGTTATTACGCAAATTAAATTTAATTTATGCTTTCACATTTCGAGTTAAAATGTGTTAAATTTTTAAGATTATTAATATATATCCATAAAAATATTTTTCAATATTTTACTTTTATTTTTCTCACTTACATTTACTACGATATAAGGAATTAAGTGAACTACAATTTAAGAGACAAAGTAAAATGTCAATAAAATATGCCTGTTTGGGTACATGAGCTAGCTATTTTTCAAAAAAATATTTCTCTTTTCATTTTCATTTACAAAACTGTCTGCAAAATTTTTGAGTATATACATAATCCTAAGCTTTTATTTCATTCAATTCACAGTATTTTATAAAATATTTGTAGAAAGTTTTATGAAATTGCTATGCTAATACTTCAAGTTAAAGATTTTTTTCGTAAAAGGAAAGTTGAAAAAAATCAAGTTTTTCAAAAAATAAGTTTAATGTAATGCAAACACAAACATAATAAAAAGAAAGTGTTCCCAAATATAAAAATAAAACTGCCAACCTAATCTTGTTCCGGATCACTTAAT